GGTTATCGTACATAAGCAACAGCACCACAGCAGCGCTCCCTGTAACAAACTACCGCCAAGAAAATGGATTTCCTGTAATAAAATAAAATAATTATAGAGTTTCGGAACTTTCTTATCGCGCCAGCCAATCAGCGCCGTTATCGGAGCCCGCCCGCGTCCGTTTGCGTGGCGCGCCTTTAATGGAGTCGGCATAAGAATATCAAACGTCATTTTTCATACAAGCAGGACTCTCACTTTTGTTCGCTTTCGTCTGTTTTAAATGTTTGAGTTTGCCAACAGAAATAGATTAGGAGCGAAATACTAATGGCGCCGAGGGAAGGGACGTCAGCGTCCCTCTTCAACAGACAATTTAACTTCTAAATTGTTCCACATTCGCTGCTAAATGACGATAACACTGACAATCACGGCTATTTGCATTTTAGAAATGACGCCAACTTTTTATGCTCACATGCTCTAAATCATCATTTTGTGTTGTTTATGTGTTGCTGTAGTTTTATGTGTTCTCTCTCGTTTTGGGGCTGCATTTGTTTTTGAGTTGCTTTTCGTGTTGCTGTTCCTTGGGTTGCTTTTCTTGTTGCTGTTCCCTGGGTTGCTTTTCGTGTTGCTGTTCCCTGGGTTGCTTTTCGTGTTGCTGTTCCTTGGGTTGCTTTTCGTGTTGCTGTTCCTTGGGTTGCTTTCGTGTTGCTCTTCCTTGGGTTGCTTTTCGTGTTGCTGTTCCCTGGGTTGCTTTTCGTGTTGCTGTTCCTTGGGTTGCTTTCGTGTTGCTCTTCCTTGGGTTGCTTTTCGTGTTGCTGTTCCTTGGGTTGCTTTCGTGTTGCTGTTCCTTGGGTTGCTTTCGTGTTGCTGTTTCTTGGGTTGCTTTTCGTGTTGCTGTTCCTTGGGTTGCTTTTCGTGTTGCTGTTCCTTGGGTTGCTTTTCGTGTTGCTGTTCCTTGGGTTGCTTTCGTGTTGCTGTTCCCTGGGTTGCTTTCGTGTTGCTCTAGCTTGTGTTGCTTTCGTCTAGGTTGCTCTCATTAGTGCAATTTTCGTTGGCGCGGAGCGAATTGGTAGTTAAACACGACTACATATAACATATAGAAACGTTTCGTTGTTCAACGACGCATTTTTAACTTATTTCCAAGTGTTATAAACATGATAGTTTATCAGGCAGTGGTCAAAAGTAGCGAGAAACATTATTATTTACGAGAAAGCAAAATTGTCTCCAAAACCTATAAAATACGGCTCTTTGGACTGATCGGTTCTTGATAGTTTCTTGCAGGTCAGTGTTCGATCCCCGTTGGTTCAAGGAATTGATTACCGGTCCTTCCCTCCGTCATAGCTCAGCTCCTTGTTCTGATAATCTTTTCCAGGTAGTCGTACTGACTTAGTGTTTTTCTCCCTGCGATTAGGCTACCTCGCTCGTCTGAATCCATTCGGTGGATAGATGAAAGCCGCTTGTCTGGAGTGTTGAATGTGGAGCACCTTCACGTCTCCATAAACAAAGTTCTCCATAAACAAAGTCCTGTTCTCATAAACAAAGGCCAAAGTCCATTCCATGCATCCGCCAAACCCCCTGTTTATGAATGAAAAACGGTTCACACACGACTCACTACTGATGACGTTCGAACACTTCCGGAACAGGTGCTTCGCTGACGACTTTTGTTCGAACCACAACGCTGTAACTGCTTCACCCACGTAATACAAATACAAATAATCGCAAACAGAACCTTAATCAATGCCTAAATATGCATGATATGCTAATATATATACTAATATTAATTTACATTTGAGAAAATTCCTATTTTGAATGAACAGCATGTTAAATTTTATGACTGCGTCTTTGGGGTCGACCGCTGGATGGAATGGACTCTGTCTGAGGACGGATTGACTTTATTTAACTACCATTCTTGTAAAGAGGGATGATAACTGACTAAAGTTGTTGTATTGAGTGGTGGATGGTGGCAGGACAACCCAAGCGGTTCAGGCTGGTGTCATACGACCCCAAGCGTGCCAGGTTGGTGTCATGACTCAATGTCATGACACCAGCACAAGACACCCAAACGTGTTCTATCACTCAAACGAACAACACAGCTTGAAGACAATCTCTCAAACAAACGTGCAGAATTAGATTCTGAAATACCATACTAGTAGACTACTGAATGCTGTAATCTGACTCTCTCACCTTCACTTCCCTTCCCTCTTCTCTCCCTTTTTCCTTAACCCTTCCCCCTCCCCCATTCCTTCCCCCCTCTCCCTCACCACCTTCCCCTGACTTACCTCGGGTCAAGGGCGGGGGAGTGGAAACTACTTTACACAAAGAAGGGGCACATGTCAATTCGAAATACACCGAGGCTTCAATTGTTCACGTACAAAGAGCTATCAGAAACAGTAGCCTTGAACGAGGACGTTGATGGATAGGATGGCTCGCGTACTTATAACTTCAGTCTTCAAGCGTGACCAAACTGGTGCAATATTTTCGACTCTCTGCATAACTAGTTGTTGAGACGCGTTGTGGGTTGTTTTGAAGTTGTGGATAGGTTCCAGTGAATGGTGTATGGGTTCCAGTGAATGGTGTATGGGTTCCAGTGACTGGTGTATGGGTTCCAGTGAATGGTGTATGGGTTCCAGTGACTGGTGTATGGGTTCCAGTGACTGGTGTATGGGTTCCAGTGACTGGTGTATGGGTTCCAGTGAATGGTGTATGGGTTCCAGTTACTGGTGTATGGGTTCCAGTGAATGGTGTATGGGTTCCAGTTACTGGTGTATGGGTTCCAGTGACTGGTGTATGGGTTCCAGTGACTGGTGTATGGGTTCCAGTTACTGGTGTATGGGTTCCAGTGACTGGTGTATGGGTTCCAATGACTGGTGTATGGGTTCCAGTGACTGGTGTATGGGTTCCAGTGAATGGTGTATGGGTTCCAGTGACTGGTGTATAGATTCCAGTTACTGGTGTATGGATTCCATTGATTGGTGTATGGATTCCAGTTACTGGTTTATGGGTTCCAGTGTATTCTCTTTCCCAGAATGCTTGATATCGGCTGCTTTCTATTGATTAATTTGTGAGTTTCTGAAATTCGCGCCATTTCAAAACTTCTGTTTTTAGTTTTCAGAAATTCTCATTTATTTCAATATCCAAGATTAAGACATTTTCATTAAAAGTGTTTACGTGTAATCAATGAAATGAAACATCAATATCAGAGTTGTTCCAAGAGAATTGGCCTTCCAGGGGTCACAGTAGCCTTCGAGGGATCACAGTTAACTCCTGGATAATATCCATTTTAACACAGTAAGTGGTCAATATTGCAAGTAAGAATTTGACTGGTAACGTGCCATCTCCTCACCCCCTTCCATGTGTAATCCCCTCCTTTTCCCCCTTCCCCTTCCATTCGCTTCCTCCCTCCCCCCTTGTGCCCCCTCGCCCCTCCCACCGTCTCCAATAGCGTGATTGGCAATAAACAGCTCGCATTCGACCTCCTCCTCCTCCTCCCTTTCTTGTCCCTCAGACAAGCACTCCACAAACATCTTCTCCTTCACATCACCTCTGGAGAAGTGAGCCCATGTCAAGCAGGAGAAACACAAATCCATTAGCGAACCTGTTATTACCAAACCTTGGCGTCGTGATCCCTCCGGTAGCATGTAAATTGATAAGCCTCGCTTCATGCTGACCAGGGTTCGAGTCCCCCCTCGACGGTCCAGGTGGTTGGGCATCTTTCCTTCTCTTTTGTCCTGTCTCGGACTTGTCCTCATAGGGGGGGGGGGAAGGTTAAGACAGGGAGAGTCTTAAGTCTTCCATTCTTTCATCCCCCCTCTTAAGACAGGGAAGAGGGACGGGGGTGGGGTGGGGGGGGGTTGGGGGGGTCGGGGGTTGGGGGGTGGGGGGGGGAGAGAGAGCAGAAAGGTAACCTGTAGTTATTATACTAAACAAGGCAGTACTTCCTATTCCTCTTGGAGACAATTGTCGATGGCATTTACGTATAGAACGTCGTCTTCCTCACACATACAGACACACACACACACACACACACACACACACACACACACACACACACACACACACACACACACACACACACACACACACACACCAGTTGTGTAATTTGCAGCACCATCGCGAGTCCTTGTTTCAATTAAGCACACAACAGAGGTATGTCAATTTTTTTTTTTATTTTATGGACTAATACGTGTAGAAAGGAATTCTGATATATATATCAAGTCTATATATGAACGAAGGAAGTTCATTGAGGATTTATTTAAGTTCAGAAGTATTTTGAACATAATTCCATATAGAGATAGATTCAAAGTTGTTGATAATTGAGGATTGCCTTATCGAATGGTTTTAGAATTGAATTCACTATTAAAAATAATTTACAACTTTTATAAAGAACTCCGAGGCTCCACGACGACAATAGCCGTGTCTCGACGACCGACAACAACCACTGTCATAGACATTACTGCCCATTATATTTTATCTTCATGAAGTTGTCTCTAAATTATGTATTCCAATGTTTAACAATGTTACCAATATCATTATATTTTTGTCACAATACAATGACGTCCTCAAAGCATCTCAATAAATCGATACTCTTTTTCCTGCCTTTTATGTATTTAAGTGAAATTTAAAAATTAACACATATAATTTTAATCTGTGTAGTGGATACATGTGAAAGATAGTTACTGGACTGATTTTGCATGTATATGCAACAACAAACAGAGCAGTTTCCACACACATTTCAATCGAATTTCACAAAATTATCAAAACTAGTTTAGGCAGGAGGCTGGTTGCCCCACCTAGACATTTTCTCACTATTGAACAGCAAGTCACAATAACGTGGCCAAACCTTTTAGGCAGTGATGACAACGTTTCGGTCTGTCCTTTGGTCCATCACATTACTCGATGATGGTCCTAGCAAGGACCGAAACGTCGTCGTCACTTTCTTTGCTTTCAGATGTGTGGATTGGGTGTCTAATCACTAATTGGGCAATTCAGACATCTTATAAATGATTGGATAAAGACACAAAAAATATGTTTTAGAGTAACTTTTAAGCACTGGTACTTTTTAATATACAGAATAAGTGACCAAAAGAATAACTTGTGTGGCAAAAAAATTTCTATAATTACAAAAATAATAAAAATCACAATAACATTGGTATTAATAATCACAATTATTACGAAAAAATAGTATAACAAAGACTAATTAATTTACAGTCAAAACACGGATAATTCAGCTAATAATTACAGTAATAAAATTTAATAATAACAATATTAATAAAATACTAAAATTGAATACATAAAGTCTAAGCCAATATCCAGGCCAATATTAACGTCAAGGTCAATACCAATAAGACTCAAAATGGAGAGCGGAGACCCTTCTCGTTGGAGAAGAAACGAAACGGTAAACTGCTGCTGAAAAAAAAAGATTAAATACATTAGTCTTAAGATTGAGGTGGAGGCAATTAACATACCTGCGTAGGTTACACTAAAGTATCCCTTAACTAACATATATATATATATATATATATATATATATATATATATATATATATATATATATATATATATATATATATATATATATATATATATATATATATATATATATATATATATAATATGCCGCTATATGTTGATAAATATGACCGAAACGGTAAACTTAATGATTCTAACACAAAAAAAACTAAGAAATATTGAGAAGATTCGTGCTAGAATCAATGAATCTTTCGGTCATATTCAACAACATAAACTGCTATATATATAAACTTTTCAAATACATTGCTTTATATAATTTTAAAAAGAAGTAATTTGTTAGAATAAACACCTGATTTTCAGCAGAGATTTAATCCAGTTAAAGTGTTAGTTCTTCCTTCAGCTTAGATACATCTCAAACCATAAGAACTTCTTGAGCCATTAACGCTTCGGGGACCTTCACCACAATTGATGTTTAGCTAATTTAAACGTTGTCAGATGGAAGAGATTTGTCTCCCCTTTTATGACTTGACACGACGTTAGTGATCATTTGTTTAACCGAGTCTGCTCAAGCGGGAATAATACAAGTTGTAAAGGTATATTAACTGAGAGACGTAGTTCTCCTTACATTATTATTTTTAAGACCTTAAACAATGTTTTAACAATGCCATTCGACTTGCTTCTGATAATTACCTTCCTTTACCTGGCTTAAGTTTAAATGCTTTTTGGTTTAGAAATAACAGATTTTGCAACATTTATTAGAGTGGGTAAACGCTGTCATAGTGATTGTATAGAAACTGAAAAAGATATGAGGACAAGGAGCTGGGATATGAGGACTAGGTGCTGGGATACGAGGACTAGGTGCTGGGTTATGAGGACAAGGAGCTGGGATGAGGACAAGGAGCTGGAATATGAGGACAAGGAGCTGGATATGAGGACAAGGAGCTGGGATATGAGAACAAGGAGCTGGGATATGAGGACAAGGCGCTGGGATACGAGTATGGAGTGAATTAACATTTGCCTAATTTCTTAGGTCGTCGGTAATCGAACGTAGACTCTGCTAGAAACGAAACTATCGTTCTTCCGAACATGCCAAGTGGCTGAACACTTTTGTTTTTATATTGTAGAGAACACTGTATATAAGACAATAAAAATTAAAACCTGCAGAAAGCCTTTGGGACCTATACGAATTAATTTTGATTTAAATGCGCCCAAACTCCGTCGTATCTAACTCAGTCAAGTCTAACCTACACTTCAAACTTTCCAGTGATTCCAGATCCCTTATGTTACCTGGTAATTTAGTCCAGAAATCAACAGTTCTGTTTACAAACCATTATCTATCCCCTGTAAATGGAATAGAATGATCTCTTAGTTCCCTTGTAAAAGAAAATCTGACATGAAGTTCTTTAGAATGCTTAGTATTTCTCAGTATATATACACCCAGAAGAGTATTTCACAATATATACACTCAAAGATGTATTTATCAGTATAAAGAACCAAAGAAATGACGCAATCAAGGAAAAGTATAGTGCAAGGAAAGAATATAATAGAACAGCTAAAATTCGACCTTGAACGTTTATTTAATGAAATATATCATTTTTTTCCTACAAAGCACTTTTTTATTTTAAATCGAAGTTAACAAATTTTCCTTTTGTTTGCAAGTAGTTTGCCTTAGCTAAGACGCAACATAGTTTGGCACTCGCCCAGGGTGTAGTGGGTGTGTTGCCTGGGCTCTAAGGGTGACCCCAGGGAGCACCATGAGGATACAACTGTATAATTTCCTGCCCCCATAAATAATGGTAGCCCATGGTACAAACTCAGGCAGTAATTAGCAAATTGACTCTATTGTTATGTTCACTGCACTTCATTGCTATGTTGGGGTTCCTGCAATGCTGGGCTCATGCAATGCTGGGCTCATGCAATGCTGGGCTCATGCAATGCTGGGCTCATGCAATGCTGGGCTCATGCAATGCTGGGTTCCTGCAATGCTGGGCTCATGCAATGCTGGGCTCATGCAATGCTGGGCTCATGCAATGCTGGGCTCATGCAATGCTGGGCTCATGCAATGCCGGGCTCCTGCAATGCTAGGCTCTGGCATACCATTGAGGCTTTTGCATACCAGAAGTTTTCCTACGTCCTCCTCAATGCAGAATTTGTTCCTTGTCATCCCGTTGATCTAATTGATCACAACTAGACCAGTATGAGCGTCAGTGACACAGCCAAGTCAGGCAAGACAATCTTTCGTCTGGTGAGGGATGCAGGAAGTAGCAAGGCTCCCTTCCACTCTTGCAAACCGCTCTTGCAATCCTGCAATCATTAACATTTCACAGATATCCAGCATCACGTGGAAGGGAAATTGGAGAAGATGTTTAAAGACACTTTTCCAGTAAGCTGTACAGGAGTATAGAGTGTTTTAAAATAATTTGGAATAAACGTGAATCCATGGATGTTTTTGTTAGTGTTTATTGGAAATAAATCCATTGGGAGTTTCTCTAGAATTATAATGTTTACTAAGAATTATAATGTTTACTAAGCATCTTCTATTGTATAATTTGCATCCTGCGAGTTTGGGATTTTTGTATAGCATGGCTAGCTTTTGGTACACACTATGTAACCCTTCATTTAGTCTACGGCAGCTGCATGAATACAAATATATTAATAAAAATAAAATGATTTTATACAAAACCTATTAATAATAATAACAGAAAATTGACACAATAATTATATTAAAATTACTAATAAACGTAAATTATTCTAACAGCATCATAACAAAATAATAAAACAAATAATCAAACACTCGATTATACGCAAAAAAAATTATATTTTAAAAAAAGTTCAACATATATTAAAATTATGAGACAACTCATGAAAATAAAGTTCTGTAGAGTGAAGTCTCAAGAAAATAATAACAATAAATATTACCATAAAAGCAACAGACAAACAAACCTCAAAAAAGTCGACCTTTTTTTTTGTAGGGAAATTCCCCGCGTCCCTCACAGGGAAATTCCCCCCTCTCGCTCTTCCCTCCCCCTCTCCCTTCCCTCTAACCCCCCCCCTCTATCCCCCTTCCATCCACCCCCCCTCCCTCTAACCCCTCCCACGGGCAAGTGTGGCTACCTAACGGGATCCGGGGACCCTACTCCAATCTCTAGGGAAATAGATGATTGGAGAAGATGTGTTTTTGTGCTTACCTCATTTGTAGTTTTAATGGTGGTGATTGTGATTGTGGTGGTGGTGGTGGTGAGGGTGGTGGTGGTGATTGTTGTGGGGTTGGTGGTGTTGGTGGTGGTGATTGTGGTGGTGATGCTTACTGGTAACTGGTGGTGGTGGTGATGGGAGTGCTACTAGTGGTGGTGGTGATGCTTACTGGTGGTGGTGGTGATGCCTACCAGTAGTGGTGATGGTGGTAGTGAGGGGTGAAGAAGGGGTGACAGGATTGTGGCGGTTGTGACAGTAAAGCGATAACGGAGAGATGATATCGTGAAGGCGATTTATCTTAGTTAATTTCGCCTCACAGACCTGGTCACACGATGGTGTAAAAGTAAGCAGCATACTTACATTTTCTTCCGTGAACAGGGCTAAGTATTAATCTTAGATAATCAGTACTTTTAACACCTCTCTCGACCGTTCTCTTCCTCTCAAGCTTTTTGTATATCCAATCTTTTAAATACAAATATATTATTAATAATATTCAATATTGACAGGGTTAGATATCTGCTACAGTATATAGTGTCTCTTCTGTCCAAGATAACAGGTTATATTAACAGCTTTAACGAGAATTCGATCATTTTTATCTTCATCTGAGTATTCACGTTAATTTTTCTTTATAAATTATGCTTATTTTAAGTCACTAAGTTTATAACCTTAAAAAAGTGATTTTGTGAAGTAGAGTTGTTAAAGGTGGTTTTAGTCTTATAAATATCTTAAAGTTATTCTTTTCTCTGTAAGTCTCTTAAAGGGTATTTTGAATTTGCTCAGCCATATTGATCTTTCGTGAGAAAATACCTATACATGAAACAAAGGTTGTATGATTAACTCTTATCTTTTCACACTGTATACAGACGAAATACTGTAATAAACTGTAGCTCTTCAGACTGTATACAGACGAAATACTGTAATAAACTGTAGCTCTTCAGACTGTATACTGACGAAATACTGTAATAAACTGTAGCTCTTCACACTGTATACAGACGAAATACTGTAATAAACTGTAGCTCTTCAGACTGTATACTGACGAAATACTGTAATAAACTGTAGCTCTTTAGACTGTATACAGACGACATACTGTACTAAACTGTAGCTCTTCACACTGTATACAGACGAAATACTGAAATAAACTGTAGCTCTCCAGACTGTATACAGACGAAATACAGACAAGAACGCCAAAACTCTGGTTAAACTCTCTATCCTCCTATAAGATATTAGGTCGTGAGTTCTCTCTATTAAAATAAATACATTTCTGTCTTGGAGTAGGAAACCCAGAATGTGGAAGCGAGAGCATAAAGGTGCTTCTCCAGTCGTGTCTGTAATGACTCTCGACGCTATGGTCACCTTACACGCATCTTGACTGGCGATCACAGGACCATAGCACTGTGTTCATGCTAAGCAAACCTTTAGGAGGTAGGAGAGAGAGAGAGAGAGAGAGAGAGAGAGAGAGAGAGAGAGAGAGAGAGAGAGAGAGAGAGAGAGAGAGAGAGAGAGAGAGAGAGAAAGAGAAAGAGAGATATACACAAAGTTTTTTTTTTTCCAAGTACATATATATCCATAACTAAAAGGCTTAAACCATGAACTTGTGAGTAAGAGTTGATCGTTAGTTCTTAAATGGCCTTGTGAGTCGTTAACTCTCAAATGGCCTTGTAGGTCGGTCGTTACAAGTACATCTGCAGCTCATGATAAGAAAAAAAAAACCCAGCTTGTAGTTACCCACGTTGACTCTG